TCACAGTATTGTAAATAATTGCTTCGCTCTGAAAACCATTTCCAAAAAAAATAAGGTAAAGGAAAAACAATTTTCTGAAGCTGAAAGTTCTACAACTAGTTCTACAGGGATCATACTCTGTTCTTTCCCCTTGATTGACATCTGATTTTGTTTTTTGGTGAGAGCAAAAAAAAAAAAAGATGATAATTGTTAAAGGCAGAGGTCACCATCTTGTGGCTGAAAATAGGAAATACAGAGAGAAAAACAAAGTTCAGTTACCCTTTGAAAAAGCTTCTTTGGGTCAACCATGAACCTGCATGACTGAGAATCTCCACAGACAATGGGGTCCTTGGTGCTCTCTGACCTTGATGGTTTTCTTACAGACCTTTCATTACCAAACTGGGTAACATCATCAGAGGAGGACACCAAGAATTGAGGCGAGTTTGGTAAAGTAATTTCCTGTCAACTTTCACATCCAGGGTTAAGCAACTGCCCATGTGTTATGAAGGGCTTACTCACAAAGTAATGGTGTGTGTGTGTGTCTTTGTGTCAGCCTCCTCCTTTATATTGCTTGCTTGCTCGGCTGCCATTTTAACGGGGGTGGGGAGCTGTCTGGATGTCTGGGTGGGTGGGAAAGTGAGCTGGTGGAGTAAATGGGAGAAAATTTCCCTCAGCGTTTCTCTGCAGCTGGGAAGGTTGTGTGTGGTTATTTGGTTGGAAATGGGTTGATGGGGGAGACTGGTTTGCGTGCGAACACCCAGTGTGTACAAAATAGTGGATGTATGCAGAGGTGGGTTTCAGCAGGTTCTGACCAGTTCTGGAGAACCGGTAGCGGAAATTTTGAGTAGTTCGGAGAACCGGTAGTAAAAATTCTGACTGGCCCCGCCCCCATCTATTCTCTGCCTCCCAAGTCCCAGCTGATCAGGAGGAAATGGGGATTTTGCAGTATCCTTCCCCTGGAGTGGGGTGGGAATGGAGATTTTATAGTATCCTTACCCTGGAGTGGGGTGGGAATGGAGATTTTGCAGTAACTTTCCCCTGGAGTGGGGAGGGAATGGGAATTTTGCAGTATCCTTCCCCGGAGTGGGGAGGGAATGGGAATTTTGCAGTATCCTTCCCTGGAGTGGGGTGGGAATGGAGATTTTACAGTATCCTTCCCCTGCCATGCCCCACCAAGCCACGCCCACAGAACCGGTAGTAAAAAAATTTGAAACCCACCACTGGATGTATGTTTAGAAGTGCAGGTTTCTTTAAAAAAAAGTTTTAAAAGGGGAATGTGATGTACCAAACATTTGGTAATTCCTGCATTTAATCTACTGTTGGAAGAAATATCCATCTGGTTCATTTCCAAGCGGGGAGAAAGACCCTGGAAACATGGAGGCTGATTGGAAAGATGGTTTATTGATGGACAGGACCACATGGGTTTGAGGTCCTGGTACAGCTGATCACATGGAGTGGAGAGTGAGGGTTACTTATACCCTCTCTTGGGCCTTGCCCTTGAGCTTCCTGTTCCTGTGCAAGAAATATATTCTATTGGTTGCTGTCAGACTCCCAAGGGGCTATGCAGGGGTCATAGCTGAGGTTGTCTCAGCTCCCAGGTTCGGTTGAAACTTGGAGGGTGATAATGTAATGAAGAGGCTTGTGTTCTGAAAGGGTGTTGGGCGATTCCTATTGTGTCTTAATAGCTTTCTCCTGGTTTGGATCATGAATGAGGGTTAATCCCATCACCCTGAAGCTGAAGGTCTTTTGTCTTGCAGATAAGCTGGCCCAGTCCTGCTGGGGCTATTAAGAAAAGTGGGGATTGCTTTCCAAGAGCATGTTTCTCCTTTAGGGAAATGTAATATTCTGCCTTTTTAATATTTCTCACAATATCTCATTCTTCTAGGAGACGGGTGGGTGCTAACTTTCTACACTACCAAAATAACTTTTTCACACAAGGGACTTGGAGGATGAAGCTCACTTTCCCAAAAGATCGTTCCAGCGCACATCGCAGGATATCTCCACATATCAATCTTGGAAACAATATGAAACTGAGTAGTTGTTATTGCTATGAATAACAATAAAACAAAGAGTTGTTGTTTGTTTCAGCAGTATCACGTCAACCTACAATTTGCTTGCTAACCTGATTTCCAGGTCAAAAATGGAATTGAATTTGGTGTTTATTCATATTGGATTCATTCCAGGAACTTCATACAAAAACAACCATACTGTAATTTTGTTTAATATGCTGTTTTGAATTAATGAAGAGACAATCACATACGCCTTATGTAACTCTTGGTCAAAACTTCCTGTTGTTGTTGCTGACGTCTTACCAAAAATATTCACAATGTAATGTAATGATTGCCTCTCCTTCCAACTTAAGAAAGTAAAAACTCTTGAAACGTGGTTGTTCAAAAGGAACCTTTTATTAAGCAGAAGTGATAACAACCCAGTTAAAGCAAGATCTGAATACCCTGAGGCAAGACAAGTAGGATTAAAGCAGTAGAGACCCCTCCCTTTAAGTCAGAATGCAGATTTTAGCCAATACAAAGGTGTGAAGATGTTTTCTTTACTAGTTTCCCTGAGAACCCAAACAAACATGCATTTACCCCGTTATCCTTTAAAGTGAAACAACCCACATGGCTATCATAAACATTCCTCTACGTTAAGAGGATCTCAGGGCTCTTTGGCGCCAGGATATAGGTTGTAAAATATCTGTTGACAGGCAATGCTAGTAAATCGAATCCAGGTCTTCCCCCTTCTCCCAATTGAATGGCAGTATCACTTTTAGGGAACTGACACTTATATTCTCAGATTTACCTGTAGAGGGCATGAAATGAGAAATGATCAGAAGCCATTACTCCTCTCATCCCATATGCACAAAAGTGGGGACAGAGACATTGCTTGAGACCTGGGAAAGGAGGCAGTGGTGGGATTCAACCGGTTCTGTCCAGTTTGGGCAAACTGATAATGGCAACTGAGGGAGGCTCCGCCCACCCACCCAGACGTAATGTGCGAGCAAAGAGCATGCGCGGAAGGCCGTGCAAATGTGCAGAGGAGGCACGCACGGTCACATTTGCGACTCAGTAGCTAAGACGCTGAGCTTGTCGATCGTAAGGTCAGCAGTTCAGCGGTTCGAATCCCTAGTGCTGCGTAATGGGGTGAGCTCCTGTTACTTGTCCCAGCTTCTCCAACCTAGCAGTTCGAAAGCACATAAAAAATGCAAGTAGAAAAAATTGGTAGGAAGGTAACAGCGTTCCGTGCACCTTTGGCGTTTAGTCATGCCACATGACCACCGAGACATCTTCGGACAGCCCTGGCTCTTCGGCTTTAAAACGGAGATGAGCACTGCCCCCTAGAGACGGGAACGACTAGCACATATGTGCGAGGGGAACATTTACCTTTACCTTTAGGGAAGGGAAGTGAATCGCACCTCTAGAAAGGAGATAGTGTTAGAAAGACACTCAAAGTGACTCTTCCTTGACTCAATGAAGTATAAGTGGGAAGGAGCAACAGTACAATCAAATTTCTAGGAACCTGTTAATACAACAGATCTTAATCAAGCTTTGCTTTAGTCTGGAAGCTAAAACATACGAAGGAGGGTTGCAGCAATTGGGTATTCTAGTTTCATGAAAAGAAGGACATGAGAGCAGTGTTCTAATATCTCAGGGGCTGCCACAAGAAGAGGGAATCAAGCTATTCTCCAAAACACTTGAAGGCAGAACTAGAAGCAATGGATGGAAACTCATCAAGGAGAGAAACCTAGAAAAAAAAAGGAGAAATTTCCTGACAGTGAAAATAATTAATCAGTGGAACAGTTTGCCTTCAGAAGTTATGGGTGCTCCATCAATGGGAGTTTTTAAAAAGAGATTGGAGAACCATTTGTCTAAAAGGGTATAGGGTCTCCTGTTGAACAGGGGGTTGGACTAGAAGACTTCCAAGACTTCCCTTCCACCTCTGTTATTCTGTTAGTCTTCTTGTGGAGTCAGTTTCCTGCTCTGGACAACCTGAAAGGGCTGATATGACTGGATGGAAACTTCTAGACAGACCTAAACAAAAGTTGGGGACATTCTCCAGATGCAGACCTGAAGAAATCTGACCCAAATAGATTCTGAACAAAATCTGTTGAGATTCCTTAGATTTAGGCAGACCCATCTTCCTTAATAGCTGGTATCAAGAATTATTTTTTTGTACTGGTGGTAATCGTTTGTGTGTTACAATCTTGTGGAAGTATCACTTTGAACTGAACACATCCAAATTTATTGAGATGGCTTCATATCTCAAATCTCTCTGAATTGAAGGAATTTGAAGCATCAGTTCAAACTGATTTAGACATCCAAATCTAGTTTTCCAAAACAGTCCTAAAGTTCAAAGAGGACTTGATTCATTTTTTTTATTTTTTTAAATTTGATTTATATGCCGCCCTTCTCCGGAGACTCAGGGCGGCTTACAATGCACTAAGCAATAGCCTTCATTCTTTTGTATATTTATACAAAGTCAGCTTATTGCCCCCACAACTGGGTCCTCAATTTACCTACCTTAGAAAGGTTGGAAGGCTGAGTCAACCTTGAGCCTTGGCGAGATTCGAACCTGCAGTAAGTGCAGGCAGCTGTTCTTAATAACAGGGTGCTTTAGACTACTGTACTACCAAGGCCCTTGGTAGTACCCATTTGCCCCAAACACTTTAATGCCTTTTCTTCCTGAAGGTTATTTGAAAATAAAAAGAGTTCTATCTACATGTTAAATATTACATTGCCTGATTTCCTGAGTGAACTTCTGCCACCAGCAGAAACTCTATTGTTTGGATAAGCCTTCTCAATTCAGATTGCTGTGTCTTGCAGTTACAAAAATGTCTATAACCAGGTGTCCATTCAGGCTTTGTATCTTCTCAAGCATCAGAACACTTCATCGTTTGATGGAATTCTAGCTATAAGCAAGAATTCTTATTTTTGTGGTTAGTAAAATGCAAACTTCTCTTCTTCATAACTTCCTGCGAAGAGAACCTTGTTCAGACAGTTGCAATAACAAGATTCAGTCAACGGTCTTTCTTTCCTCTTTGAGTCATTCTCCAAAAAGAGAACCGGGGAAGAATTTGCTATCCAAAGGTTGCCTTTTCTACACTCCTCGCTTTTCCTGATGCTCCAGATGGGGTAAGATTTTCAGAATTTGAAGTGTGGAATTTTAGACAAGGTAGATTTTATTCCCCCTCCACCCCTTCTGCAGTTTTGGAAGAATGATCCTCTTTAGTTAGCACAAAAAAATTTGCAATAAAGATCTTGTTTTTCTACGATCAAGTTAGTCTCTACCAGATGACTGCACTTGTGAAAGTTGGAATGAGCAGATATATCGATTTATGCCTCCTGAAAATTTGGGGAGACTGTCGCCAGATAAACACAATGAGTGAAACTGCTGTTTGACTGAGGTAGTAACAAAAAGATAAAAATATGGAAGAGAGAATCTGATTTCATAGGTCTGGTGGAACAGGGGAGGGGTTATTTTATACCGTGTTTCCCTGAGAATAAGAGTGGGTCTTATATTAATTTTTGCTCCAAAAGATGCATTAGGTCTTATTTTCTGGTTAGGTCTTATTTTGGGGGAAATATTGTACTAAATGCACCCATTTGGCTGACAATCTTACAGTAACTGGGGCTTATTTTGGGGTAGGGCTTATGTTACGAGCATCTCAGAGGTGGGTTCTACTTACCTTTACTACCGGTTCGCAGCGGGGCCGTGCACACATGCTTGCTTCACGTGTGCACGCGTGCACTCTTCTGCGCATGCACAGAAGCGTTTTGGTGACATCGGGGTCGATGGGAAGGATCTCCCACTGGTTTTACTACCGGTTCTATAGAACCGGTGAGAACCGGGGGCAACCTACCATAGGAGCATCCTGAAAAATCATGCTAAGACTTATTTTCCGGTTGGGTCTTATTTTTGGGGAAACAGGGTAGAAAAGGCCTGTTTCTGAAGTCCCACTGATAACATTTTAAGGAAAGAGACCTGGAGAATGTCCATCCTACTCGGGAGAGGCAGTTCCGCAAATAACATAGTCCTGAACCATGTAAGGCAGTATTTCTCAATCTTGGCAGCAGATATGTGGACTTCATCTCCCAGAATAGCTGGCTGGGGAATTCTGGGAGTTGAAGCCCACACATCTTCAAACTGCCAAAGCTGAGGAACACTGATATAGGTCTTTAAAGATGATAACTGGTGACTTGAATTGCACCCAGAAATAAATTAGGAACCATTCATACAACAATGGTGTAATATGGACAAACCAAGGGACACTCACCGCTGCATGAGTTACCGCATTTCTGGACCACTTGTAACTTCTAGCCCCACATAGTGTACATTGCAATAATCCCACTAAGAAATGAGCAAGGATTGACTGTGAACAGGGGCTGCCAGTTCAGGAATGGGTGCCATTGGCACACAAGATACACCTGGGCAAAGATACGGCCGTCACCCACAGCTATCCTTGTTGTTGTTGTTGTTGTTGTTGTTGTTGTTGTTATTATTATTATTATTATTATTATTATTATTATTATTATTATTATTTATTGGTTAATCTTTAGTGAGATTCACAGCCTTTGAGGCTGGTTAATAGCTCAGCAGCTCGAGTCCTAACCAAGGATCTAGGAACTGTTAAGGTATCGTCGGAGGATGTAAGCTGTTCCGAGTAAGGTGGTTTATTATTATTATTATTATTATTATTATTATTATTATTATTATTATTATTAATTGAATTTATATTCCGCCCTTCTCCCCGAAGGGACTCAGGGCGGTGAACAGCCGAGAATTAAAATAACATACAATATAAAAGTTAAGATAATTAAAAATAAATTAAATTAATCGGCCTCCCAATTTAAAATTTGTTCCAATTTGTTCCTTGAGCAGAAGCGGTGAATCGAGAAATCTAGTTTTTTTTTGGAATAGATGCTCACCAGGATTGTGCTTTGCATTTCAACGGCATAAATTAGGAAAAACCTATTTATCAGACCACAGAAGGAAGGCGCGTCACATGTGGCACAAAATCGGTTTTCTCCAAAAGCTGCATGCAGACCTTCCTGTATTCCCAACCAGAGATCTGCAAAAGTTACATGCACCTTTGACTAACGTGAACTCTCTGAGAGCACATAATCTTTACAGATTAAAAGGTTTTTATAGCCAGGGTGAGCCCCTCAATAAAGAACAGATATTACAACAAAGAGGTGATACGCTACAATAGCCTTTTCAGTATTAGCTCAAACCTCTTCTAGGTAATAGCTAGCTAGGTAGTTTATTAACCGATTAGTCTTATGACTATATCAAAAATATAAAACAAAATACAGGCTCTAATTCCAGGGTAAAATAGATAATAGAATTCTAGGCAGAGGTGGAAACTGTGGGTCACATACTCCTTAAATGTTCCTTTTACAGTGGGATTCGGGGGAAAAACATACTCTGCCAATAATTGCTAGATGTCTTGTCCATTCTGACAATGCTTATCTCCAGTGGCAGCTTAAGGACGAACAGTCCGAAACTACAGCGCAGGTGGTTAGATTCTGCACAGCAGCACTAGGAATTCGTTGAAAACATGTGTCAGACCCACCATAGCTATTTTATAGAACAAATGTGGCAAGCCCTTTGCACTGCTTAATCCTTTCCCTTTTAGTATTAAACCAACTACTGGCCTCACAGTTTATGGATTGCAATTTTAGTATAGTTAGACCATGTACAATTGACAGACTGGATTTTATCATAGATTTTAGTTGTTATTTATTATTTTATTCTAAGAATTTCTAACTGTGTGTTTATTGAGTGTTTTTTATATGTTCTGGTCTCTGGTCCATGTCTGTAATAAATTGAACTGAATTCTGGGCAATAGAAATATTAGAACTTTTGGCAATACGGCCTTATACAAATTTTGAGAATACTTCATTATTCAGAACATCCAAAAGGAATTTCAAAAGATTATAGTTTATTGTTGTAATTTAAAAAGGGAAAGCTATCGGATGGAAGCTTGGGTTACTGATCTTGGTAATCCCACACAGGAGACAAATTGGCAGCACTTATGGAAACCAGTTTCACTTCAGTTTCAGTGAAGTGAAGTGAAGTGAAAAAGTGAAGTGGAAAATTAAACATTGTTGTTGACTCCTGTTAGGCTGGCTCATATATATTAAAATTATTTTCCCAAATGCTGGAGAGGTTGCCTAAAGAACATAAAGGTTTATTTTTTTGTTTGTTTTTTCATTTGTGGTGGTCACCTCATAAAGGTATATATACCCTTCTGGTGAAATTTTTTTGAAGACGTAACATCATTAAACAAAATATAGAATGTCCTCCAGAGTTAAGGTTATTTACAAGACTAAACCATGAGGTTAAAAATAAAGAATTGATTTATCTATTTAATTTTAGCAACCCAAACAATAATTGTGTAACATTGGCGAACTCTAGGTAATATAACAATTCAGTTGCGATTAGCAAGGCCTCTTCGATTGCCACATTGGGGGGGAAAAAAATCACAGGTCGAGTTAAGGAAATTAAATGTCAGAAGCAGGAACCACAATTTTATCAAACTTGGTTGGATATTATGGTTTAATTTTTTTCTTCTTCTGTTCAACCGTGTCTGATTTTTAAAAACTGCCTGGAGAAGTCCTGAAAGTTTTCTTAGCGAGGTTTTTCAGCAATGGTTTGCCATTCTCTCCTTCTTGGGGCTGAGAGAAAGTGACTGGCTCAAAGTCACTCAGCTGGCTTTGTTTCTAAGGCGGGACTGGAACTCATCTTCTCCCAGTTTCCAGCCAGAGGCCTTCATCACTACGCAAACTGGCTTTTTAATCTAATAACAATAGTTTATAATTTGACACACTTTAAATATGATAAAATTTACATGGATAGTACCCCTCTCTTTATTCAGGGTTTAATATAGACTTTTTATATTTTTTTTATTTTTCCTCATTATATGTATTTTGGATTCATGTTAATGTAATTTCCTGACAATGTGTGAAATAAAACTAAAAAAGTTACACACAGAGATAGCTTCGTTGCTCTACTGCCCCTCCTTTTAAGGCATGAACTGGTCTAAAGAGAGTTTTTGAAATTAAGGTGCAGCTTCAGTTTCTTGTTTGTTCCTGTTTTGAAATCCAAGCATCTCCTGGGTACATGTCCTGCCTGTAAGTCACATTTTATGAAAAAATCTCTGTGGGTTGTTTTTGTGAGGAAAGGCCATCGCTGCCTGCATGCTATTCAAGAAAGGCATCATCCCAGATTAACACAAGACCAACAATCAAGCAGCAAACAATATCCCCAATCAAGGAACTACCATCTCAGACAAACAAGAGAACAGTAAAGAACAGCCGAAACAAGGAACCACCAAAAATACCGCTGCCAACAACAGGGAAAGTGGGCATGGCTTGGTGGGCATGGCAGGGGAAGGATACTGCAAAATCCCCAGCCAGGCAGCCAGGCAGCCAGCCAGCCAGAGGTGGTATTTGCCGGTTCTCCAAACTGCTCAAAATTTCCACTACCGGTTCTCCAGAACCTGTCAGAACCTGCTGGATTTAACCTCTGGTACAGGAGTGTCAAACTCAATTTCATTGAGGGCTGCATCAGAGTTGTGTTTGACCTATGCGGGGGGTGGCCAGGGGGCATGGCCAGCTCGACATCACTCGTGTCGGGGGCGCCTGTGGTGGGCCGAGTACTCTGCAAGTGAAAACGGGCTCTAGGCCTCCGTTTTTGACTGCGACAGCTTCCTGCAGCCCTTTGCCAGTGAAAACGGAGCTTGGGAGGGCTTCCCGTGGCCCTCCCAAGCTCCATTTTTTCTGGTAGAGGCACCGCGGGCCGGTCCTTACTGTTTGCAGGGTGGCTCTGCAGGTCAGATCTAAGCATTCCGTGGGCCGGATCCGGCCCCGGCACTTGAGTTTCACACCCCTGCACTAGTATATGAAGATAAAGCAAACCCACTCCTAGCACTGATGTTACCTAGTTGGGTACTGAAACATCTGTCAGCCTTGGAAGCCATATTAGGCCGGAAGCTTCAATGCTGCCACCTCTTCATGTGTCAGATAGTAGGAGGGGGGATTTAGGAGAGGGGAGTTAGTAGACATAATAGCGATCTTGTCAAGGTCAGGGTGAGCCAGCATCTGGAGGAGGAGTGGTCAGGGGCTGGCTTGAGGTGGAACGGACGATGATTGGAGCATGTGATTGATTGAGGAGTAAGGGGGTGGTTTGGGGAGCTTTGAATTACTGAAGGAAAGCCCGGGTTTTTCAGATTCAGGATTTCCCAGATGTCAGGTTTCGATGTCATCTCAAATAAATTGCACTCTCAAACAATTAATCTTTGCTGAAATATTCCATTTATTGAGTACGACAGATCTGGCCCCGACTTCGTCGTAGCCGATACTAACCCTCTGACCCCCCAAACCCTTCCCTTTCCGTTCCCCAATTCTCATCTTCTCATTGGCCATCTTCCAAGTCAGTCTCCCCAGCTTCTGACCTCACCCCACAGTCCTCCTCCTCTTCCTGGCAAACCTCACTCCCTTCCAGCATTTATGCTGTTACCTCGTTGAGTAATGAGATGTCTGCAAGCAAACAACCAAGCTCAGAGAGCATCAAGTATCCTGAGATACAAATATTCTCTTCTATTAAGCTCTTAGCTGTATAATAGAGCTTGCATTCAGCCAGCTGTCAGTAGAGCCAGCTTAAAAAGTAACTCAAGCAGAATACATTTGTGGTCAGTGACAATCTTGAGTGTATTCATTATAATTTAATGCTCTGGGGAGAGAGAAATCACAGAAGCCCTTTCACCAACATGCAATACGAATAGCTTTCCCCCAGAGGTGTCATTATGGAAAGCAGAAGCTGGAAATTTGATTTTTATTGACTTCCCGCCTGCATGATGGAGTTGAAGCTGCCGACTTAATAAGAATTAATTGGCAAAGATGCTAAACAGGAAACTCTTGAATAGTATGCATGAGCAATTTAGCAAATAGCAAATGCATGAACGAACAGGTAGGTGGAAGGAGAGTTACAACAATTTACAGGCTGGGCAAAATGGCTCCACCATTCTCAAGCAGCAAAAGAGGTTTCCTTTTCTTTTTTGGAAAGAACTTTATTAAAATTAACAACGTTTTTCAAGGAAGTGTGTTTCCCATAGGTTAGGCTAATAGGGTAGATCCGTGATGGTGAACCTATGGCACGCGTGCCAGCTGTGCCATGGGATCCTGCCCATGGGGTGCTTAGATCTGGCCTGTGGGGCTGCCCTGGAAACAATGAAGGACTGTCCCACGGTGCCTCTGCTGGCAAAAACGGAGCTCGCGAGGGCCACAGGTGGCCCTTCCAAGCTCTGTTTTTACTGGCAGAGGGTTGCAGGAAGCCATCACAGCTGAAAACGGAGCTCGGGAGCCCATTTTTGCTGGCAGAGCAAAATGGCCGCCATTAGCGCCTTCAACACAAGTGATGTTGAGCTGGCCATACCTACCCTGGCCATGCCCACCCGGTCCCCCAAGGTCAAACACAATCCTGATGCGGCCCTCAATGAAATAGAGTTTGACACCCCTGCTCTATACCTACACCTCTCTTCCCTCTTTCTTCCCCTTCCCCATTTTCCTCTCACCTTTCAGTAACAGTGACAGGGGTGGAAGAGACCTGGGAGGTCATCTAGTCCAAGTTCTTTCTAAATTTGAAAAGAAGCCAAAAAACTAAGACTTATTTGCTGCTGCTTCTTTCCCTTTCTCCTTCTCTTCTTAACAGTTTTTGGGTCCTCCAGTAAAAGGAGAGGAAAGCTGCAATGGTGTTACTCAAAGACAATTCCATGTCAAAAACATTTTGCAATGTAACACTACAAAACAATGTGCCATCTGAGGGGTGGTCTCTGAGCTTAGCTGTTTTCCTTGCAGATGTTTTATTACCCAAATAGAAAAATATTTAACTGGGACTTTACTTCCTGTCATAAGGAGATTTTTTACCAAATTGAGATTAGACCAACTTCAAACAAACATGCTTTGGGGTAGGTATAAGGGTATCCCTCTAAGTGAAAGAGTCTGTTTATGTGGGACGAGGGAAGTTGAAACAATGTCCCATGTAATTTTTGATTGCCCCCTGTACTCAGATTTGAGGGAACAGCCAGCAACAACATCCCATTGCCCGGTTCGCGCCCATAGGGAGGGCCTGCTCAGGGTGCTGTCGGCGAGACAATGTTGGCTGGCGGCCCCCAGGGGTAGAGCCTTCTCTGTAGGCATGCCCACCCTCTGGAATCAACTTTCCTTGGGGCTTCGGCTGGCCCCTGACCTTCGCACCTTTCGCCACAAATTAAAAACTTGGCTATTCGAGTTCCCCGGCCTGGACTGATGGGTTTTTTACGGGTTTTTAATTGTATTTGATTTAATTAGGTATTTTAATCTTGCATTGGATTGTGGTTTTATTGTTGTGAGCCACCCTGAGTCCATTGGAGATAGGGCAGCATATAAGCCTAATAAAATAAAAAATAAAATAAAAATCAGCTGGGCAGGATCTTGTATACCAGCACCCCTAAGTCTAAAGAGAGCTTCTTGCAACATTGTCTGTTAGGTTCTAACGTGCAGCTGGTGAAATGGATTGCCAAATTTGCGGTAAAGTTGATGGAAAAAAGGACAAAGTTGGTGCAGCAGAATATGGTAGATTGTAGGAAAGATCATTTGCTTTAATAATGTAATTTCAAAAGTAGTTTTAAGACTGATTGGGTAGATGCAGGGGTGACATTATAATATAATTCTAATCATATTTAATTTGTATCTCAAATTATTGTACTTTATTCCGATTTCATTTTAGATCGTATTTTATTCTAATTTCATTTTAAATTGTGCGTTATTCCAATTTCATTTAAATTGTTTTACCAAATTTTTTCATAATTATTTTTCTGGAACTCTGCACTTTGATATGGCCCAAGGGCTAATCAATAAATAAATAAAGATAGATAGATAGATAGATAGATAGATAGATAGATAGATAGATAGATAACCCAAATCAGGTAATATCATCGGTGCTACTCAGAACAAGCTCAGAGAGCAACAGGGACCCCTCATTTCAACCCTGAGCTACAAATATTCTCCTTTATTAGCATTATGAGCCCTGGTGGTGCAGGATTGTACCACCATAGCCAGGAGTTCAATCCTAACCGGCTCAAGATTGACTCAGCCTTCCATCCTTCTGAGGTCAGTAAAATGAGAACCCAGATTGTTGGGGGAAATTGCTGCCTCTGTAAACCGCTTAGCGAGTGCTGTAAGGCATTATGAAGCAGTATATAAGTCTAACTGCTATTACTAGTGCTATTGGGAGCCCTGGTGGTACAGTGGTTAAAGTTCAGTATTGCAGGCAAACTCTGCCCACAGTCTGGAGTTCGATCCTGATGGGGCTCAAGGTTGACTCAGCCTTCCATCCTTCCGTCGGTAAAATGAGGACCCAGATTTTTGGGGGGCAAGATGCTGACATTGTAAACCACCTGTAAAGTCCTGTAAAGCACTATGGGGTGGTATATAAGTCTAAGTGCTACTCCCATTGCTTTATAAATGTGCCATCTTTTCCTTACAGGGACCAGAATCTCTCCATAGGTGGGACTTCCCCAAGTCCTTTCACCGGCAATGGAACTGAGATGATGGGAAGCCCAGGGATGAATTGCTCGGAACCTGGACAAGATTTCCAACACACCTTTTATGCTGCCACCTACTCCATCATTTTCATCCCAGGCCTCCTCACCAACAGCATCGCTCTCTGGATGCTATGCCTCTTTATCCGAAAGCAAAACAAAGCCATCATCTTCCTGCTGAATCTGGCCACCGCGGACTTCATTCACGTCCTCTCCTTACCTCTGCGGATTTATTATTATGTCAACTACAAGTGGCCCTTTGGACTCTTCCTCTGCCAGCTTTGCTTCTACTTGAAGTACCTGAACATGTACGCTAGCATTTGTTTCCTCACCTGTATCAGCGTGCAAAGATACCTCTTCCTGCTCCATCCCTTCATGGCCAAAAACTGGAAGAAGGGCTACGATGTTGCCATCTCGGCTACCGTCTGGTTGGTGGTTGGCGTAGCTTGTCTGACCTTCCCATTGCTGAGAAAGACCCTGAGTTCGGAAGCTTGCTTCTCCGATCTCAGCATTGAAAAGATCCAGAACACGGCGGCTTTGATCGGGATGCTGATTGTGGCCGAACTGGTTGGGTTTTTGTTCCCTCTGGCCATCATCGTCTACTGCACTGCCAAGACCAGAGCTTCCCTCCAGGAATATCAAATGCCTTTACAAAACACCGCCAAAAAACAGAAGGCGTTACGGATGGTGTCCATGTGTGCCGTCGTGTTTTTTGTGTGTTTCGCCCCCTATCACCTCATGTTTTTCTTCTTCATGTTGGTCAAAGAAGATGTGGTGAAGGGCTGTGCTGTAAAACAAAGTGTCTTGTATCTGCACCCTTTTTTCTTAAGCCTTGCCAGCTTCAACTGCTGCTTGGATCCATTCTTGTACTTTTTTGTGACAAGGGAATTCAATGATCGGATACCAACCTACAGGAGCTTGTCCTTCAGAAATCGTTTGTTAAGCAAGGAAAGCGCTTCTTCGATGAAGGAATAAATTAGCTGGACTTCAAGTTGGACAGAGGATTGGAGGGTCTACAGGAGGTGCCCTAGTTCAGACTGCACCTCCAGATATCCTGTAGCATAAGAATGCACTCACATACCACGTCAGAGAAAAGTTTCCTTAGTTATGGTTGGATGATGGAGCAATAGTTGCAGTGGTGAAACTCCAAATTTTTTTACTATCTGTTCTGTGGGCATGCTCTGGCTTGGTGGCATGGCAGGGGAAGGATACTGCAAAATCCCCATTTCCTCCACACTCCTGGGGGAAGGATATTGCAAAATCTCCATTCCCACCCCATTCTGGGGTCAGCCAGAGGTGGTATTTGCCGGTTCTCTGAACTGCTCAAAATTTCCGCTACTGGTTCTCCAGAACCTATCAGAACCTGCTGGATTTCACCCCTGAATAGTTGGTTGGGTTCAGACCAGGGGTGAAATGCTCCCAGTTCAGACTGAATTTCCCAATCCGGTAGCGATGGTGGTGGGTGGTTCGGAGAACTGCTAGCAAAACTCCCTGCGCCCCCCACCCCGATGCTCAGCTGAGCCGCACGATCATCAGAGGCTTTTTTAAAAAAACTTTTAAAAGCATTTTTTCTACAACCTCTTCCGATGAAAAAATGCTTTTAAAAGTAAAAAAAAAAAAGCCTCCGATGATCGTGCGGCTCAGCTGGGATCATTAGAGGCTTTTCAAAGCATTTTTTTTTTTGCAATGTCTTGGCTGAAGAGGTGGTAAAAAAAATGCTTTGAAAAGTCTCTGACGATCAGGCAACTCAGCTGGGATCATCAGAGAGGCTTTTTAAAAAATGCCTCTCTGACGATCCCAGCTGAGTTGCCTGATCATCAGAGAAGCTTTTAAAAAAATGCCTCTGTGACGATCAGGCAACTCAGCTGGGATCGTCAGAGAGGCTTTTCAAAGCATTTTTCTCTGCAACCTCTTGGCCGAAGAGGTGGTAAAAAAAAATGCTTTGAAAAGTCTCTGACGATCCCAGCTGAGTTGCCTGATCGTCAGAGAGGCTTTTCAAAGCATTTTTAAAAAAGCCTCTCTGACGATCCCAGTTGAGTTGCCTGATCGGCAGAGGCTTTTCAAAGCATTACAAAAAAATGCTTTGAAAAGTTTTTTTTTTTAAAAAAATTGGCCACGCCCACCCAATCACATTACCCCCACCACCCTCACCACCAAGCCACGCCCACAGAACTGGTAGTAACAAATTTTACATTTCACCCCTGGTTCATACAACATGATAGATCAGTGGTTCCTAATCTGTTTTACGGAAACCATTTAACAGGAAGTTGCAGGAGTCAAAGCAGCTGTGGATGATACATTGCTGGCTCTAAGTTAACATTGTGGTCTTCAAAAACGTTCAATGACAATCTAGAAGTCTTCCTGAAGAGAAAAGTTGGGATCTGTAGCACTGTGGTTTACAAATCTCAAGGATGAGATTCACATAGCTAAACCATCGGATGATCTGTTTTGTTTTATTTTTTTTTCTATGATCTTAGCCTGACGCTCATAATTTCCAATCAAGAATTTCAAACTGGGTGGGGATGACCAAATGTTAAGCTACACAAACCCAAAACAGCTCTTCAGAGACATGAATTTCTTTCTCCCAGACCTGCCTAAGAAAGGCAAATGGCTGAACCTGCTTTGTTTTGCTTTATCACATCCTTTGATAGTTTTGGAAGTACTCCCGCTTTTTGCTGATCCCACTAATGCCATGATGGCAAATTTATGGCACATGTGCCCAAAGTGGCACACGAAGCCATGTCACCCGGCAAGCACGGCCTTGCCTGTTTGTCTTCTGGGTTTCTGGCACACATGCGCACGTGATGATCAGCTGTTCTTCACATGTGCGGTAATGCCAAAAACCAGTGTGCGCATGTGCGCCAGCCAGCTGATGGTCAGGTGTGCATGAGTGCCAAAACCCGGAAGTTCGGCATTTATGGAACGCAGCCCAGCCGAGCACGTGCACTCAATGTTTCCGCGTGACCTTTTCGGCACTTGGTGCCAAAAAAGTTTGCCATCACTGCACTAATGTGTCTAAAGGTTGAATCATGGTAACTGGATCAAACGTTGTTAAACTGAGACGTTTCGTTGCTTATCCAAGCTTCATCAATCAGAGCAAAATTCTCTGCCTAAATAATTTTGCTCTGACTGATGTAGTTGCTTGGATGCGCAACGAAACATCACAGATTAACAAAGTTTGATCCAGTTACCATGTTTCAACCTTTAGACACCTTTGACCTGGTGACATCTTGATCCCATTAATGTGCAATGGGAAATTACTTTGGGAATGCAATTCCTGACTGATTTCAAGCGAGAATCAAAGGTATAACTTGCATTAAGCCTTCAGATAGTTTTAGCATACTAAACATTTGCAAAAAAATAATAATTGGAATACATTGAAATACATTCCATAGATAGGAACAGGAATTCTCCAGGCTTCTCTTGATCAACAACTTTCAGTTTATTGGTCATAAAAATTAACTGATTGTTTAGTCCTGTTTAAAAGTATAATTTCATTAGTGAGTTGACTGCGCACATCTTTGTAAATATGTACATACTCTGCAAGTAAACAAAATAATTGCTCTGAATAGTAAAGTAAATAAAAGAACTGCTCTGAAAGAGAAAGAAAACAAGGCTTCTCTCTGTCAGTTATGTTCACTGCTTTTCAAAGAGAACAGTCCACACTGCATCAACTCATCCCTATCTTAATCGTGTGATCTGGGTAACTATGCACTTCCAAATATATAGCTACGTTCTGGTTTCCATAGGTTTATGTGGGGGTGTTTGGTTCTTTCCCTTTGTTATTTCTTTTTTTCTTTTTCAGTCAGGTGCATCCTGTGGGTTATTTTTATCTTTTTTTTACAGCCAGCCATCGACAGGAAATACTTGCCATTTTACTTTTACAAAGGGAAAGAGGCACATTTTATGCCTCCTGCTGCCTATCTGTGGCCAAAACATTTTTAAAAAGCAAGCAAATCTAACGAGTGACAATGGTTTAATATTATTAATATACATCAATTGTTTTTTTAAAAAAATATTTTTTATTATTTTATATCATACACTAACTTTCTGTGTTGAGCAGTGTGCTCTCCAGGTGTCCAAGGTGTTAACATACAAGCATACAAACATCATCATCGTCATTATGATCATATATATATAAACAAATATGTGGTAATATATAAACAAATATGTGATAACATCAATCATATTATAACATATATTATCTTCCATTATAGTATTGATTATATAACCGTCATAAATATTTTCTCACCTGTTTTTCTTTCTCCTATAAATCATATTTCACCCAATTCCACTCCTCTAACCTCAATTTTTTTTTAAAAAAAAAATAATTTTATTGATTTCCCCCCCACATTTACCCACATCTTTTTTTTTTGAACAGAATATTGGCCTTACCTTATCCTCTAACCTCAATATTTGTCATTTAACCATTTATAGAATAGTTCCCATGTTATGAAATAGTCCGAATCTTCTTTTCCTTTAATTTTTAGGGTTAACCTATCCATCTCTGCACATTCCAGAATTTTTTTGATTATAATATTGTCTGCAGGGGTTTCTGGGTTTTTCCAACATTGTGCATATGCAATCCTAGTTGCTGTTAGGATGTGTAGAACCAAATCTGTGTTCCCCTTATTATAATTTCCTGGAAGCATGCCCAACAAAAATGTTTCAGGTTTCAGATCTATTTGTTGTCCTATCATATTTTCCAGCCATGTGTGTATTTTCTTCCAGTATTTTTTGGCTTTGGGGCATGTCCACCACAAAATTCTTTCCCAAAGAAGTTTGGGAAAGTTTCAAAAACACTGATGATATCCTTCTTACTATTCCACAGTTACAAGAAACGTATAAATCAAATTTATAGATATAAATTAAGCATGGGCTGGTTTATTGATTATGTGCCATCCGGTCAGCGTTGATCCTTAGCAAAGATAAATTTTCTCCAGCAATCAATTAATCCTAATATGACAATATGCGCAAAAGCAAAAAGTCAGAAGCATCTTTCTCTGTCCCTCTTTAAATCTAACCACTTACAGCAAGTCCGGGATCAAAACACATCTTACAGAACGTTAAGATTTCATTTTTTTAAAAAAATTACAGATTAGCAGAGTTGGAAGGGACTTTTGAGGTCATCTAGTCCAACCCCCCGCCCAAGCAGGAGACCCTACTCCATTGCTGACAATGGCAGTCCAGTCTCTTCTTCAAAGCTTCCAGTGATGAAGCTCCCACAACTTCCGAAGGCAACTTCTGTTCCATGGGTTGATTGTTCTCACTGTCAGAAAATTCCTCCTCATTTCTAGGTTGAATCTCTCCTTGTTCAGTTTCTGTTTTGACATTCTGATTAAAATAGTCATTTCAACGGACCGAGAAACGTTTCAGCTTTCAAAATAATCTCTTATTTTACTTTTCCTTCTCTCGGTTTCTAGACTCTAATCAGATATGTAATGTTGACTATCTGGAATATTCCAGAAAATATTTGAGATGCCTTCTGTATTTAGTCTTATGTCAGGTTACGTTTTTTTGTTCCTATAAAGGTAAAAGTTCCCCTCGCACATATGTGCGAGTCGTTCCCGACTCTAGGGGGTGGTGCTCATCTCTGTTTCAAAGCCGAGGAGCCAGCGCTGTCCGAAGACGTCTCCATGGTCATGTGGCCGGCATGACTCAATGCCAAAGGTGCACGGAACGCTGTTCCCTTCCCACCAAAGGCGGTCCCTATTTTTCAACTTGCATTTTTTACCTGCTTTCAAACTGCTAGGTTGGCAGAAGGTGGGACAAGTAATGGGAGCTCACCCCGTTATGCAGCACTAGGGATTCAAACCACTGAACTGCCGACCTTTCGAGTGACAAGCTCAGCATCTTAGCCACTGAGCCACCGCGTCCCTTGTTCCTATAGTTTCTGCTATTATTCTATATCTAAATATAGCAATATAATAAAATGGTTTCAGTGATATAGACCCCTATGTTGTCAAAAAAGTGCTGTCCACGTGGAAGACAATTTCTTCTGTACTGTTTATCCTGGAGCTTTGAGATTAATTACATTAATCACCAAAGGGCCCATTGTAGCGAAGAGAATGAGGTATTCTGTAAAGACAGCATATTTACCTGAATGCTGATTCTTCGTACTTAACACTAATGTCTTTGTCACCGTGTTTTTCTTTTATCTATTTTACCCTGGACTTACATCCTGTACAGGTAGTCCTCAATTTACAACAGTTCAAAGTTAAAAAAACTGATTTATGACCATTTTTCACACTTATGTCCGTTGCAGCATCCCCATAGTCACATGATCAAAATTTCAGATGCTTGGCAACTGATTCATATTTATGACGGTTGCTGTGTCCTGAGGGGAGGTCTTGTGATCCCCTTTTGTGACCGTCTGACAAGCAAAGTCAATGGGGAAGCCAGATTCACTTAACAACCGTGTCACTAATTTAACAACTGCAGTGCTTCCCTTAACAGCCTTGGAAAGGAAGAGTGTAAAATGGGGCAAAATTCACTTAACAACTGTCTCGCTTAGTGACAGAAATTTGGGGCT